GTTTAGTAGCTCGGTCGTGTCCGACTCTGCGACCCCGTGGACGGTAGCTGTCCAGACTCCTCTGTCCATGGGATCCTCCAGGCAAGGATACTGGGGTGGGTAGCCTGTCCCTTCTCCAGGGGATCTTCCCGACCCAGGGGTCGAACTTGGGTCTCCCTCACTGGCAGGCAGATGCTTTACCCTTGAGCCACCTGGGAACAGTCCTCAGCCATAAAAAAGAATGGAACAGTGCTGTTTGCAACAACAGGGATGTAACTAGAGGTTATCATACTGAGTGAAGTAAGTCAGACAAAGACAAATATCATAGGCTATCACTTATATGTGGACTCTAAAAAGAAATTGATGCAAATAAATTTATTTATAAAATAGAAACAGACTCACAGACTTAAAAAACAAAAAAACCTTATGGTTGCCAACTTAGGGCTTCTCTGCTGGCTCAGACAGTGAAGAATTTGCCTGCAGTGTGGGAGACCTGGGTTCGATCCCTGGGTCGGGAAGATCCCCTGGAGGAGGGCATGGCAACCCACTCCAGTGTTCTTGCCTGGAGAATCCCCTGCACAGAGGAGCCTGGTGGGCTACAGTCCCTGGGGTCACCAAGAGTCAGACATGTCTGAGCGACTAATATTCTCACCGCACTTCCATACTCCAATGAAAAAATTCTAAAATGGGGACTTCCCTGGGGGTCCACTGGTTAAGCCTGCGAGCTTGCACTTTAGGGGGGTTCCGGGTTCCATTCTTGCTCAGGGGACTAAGATCCCGCAGCCCTCTTCCATGGCCAGTAATAATAATTCGAATAAAATGAAACTTAATAAAAGAAAAGAAACGAAATGACACAGCACAGCCTTCCTGCTGCCGGAAGATCTTTGTCCTGGAGTCTGGGAGGAAGTGAAGCCAGCTCTCACCTCCCCCCACCCTTGAGTGTGAAGCCCGGCTCAGCCCACCAGGAAGTTGAGAAACTGTGTGAGGTCGTTGGGAAATGCGTCTCCTGGCATCTGGTTTCTTTTCTGGGAAAATCGATGTTATAACTTCGGGAGCTGCACCCTCCCCCCGAACGCTGGCTCACTGAGGTCCTGCTGCCCACAACTCCGCTTTTCTGTGGAAGAGGCGCTGACCCCCACCTCCCCATGGCTGCTTTTCTTCTCTGACCCCGAGGAGAGTCTGGGAAGGGCGGAAACGTGGGGTTCTGGCGGATGAGGGGGTGGGGAGGAGCTGTGTGGGCAGAAAGGGCAAGGAGCGGCTGTCACCAAGTGTCTGCGTTGAGCTGGTCAGCCTCAGCAGCCGGACGAGTCTCTGATGGGGGGGCGTCCTGGGCCCTGTGCGGGGTGTGGAGGAGAGTCCCTGGGCTCCCCTCACCGCACGCCAGGGGCAGCCCCTGCCCCCATCGCTGTCACGGCCAGAAAGTCTCCAGACGTTGTTATATGTCCCCTCAGAGGGTAAAGTCTTCCCAGTCTGTGAACCACAGCCATAGGTGCATACGTGGATGGATGGGTGGATGGATGGGTGGCTAGTTGAAATAGATGGATGATGGATGATGAATGGATGGATGGATGGATGGATGGGTGGATGGACAGGAAGATATATGGATCAATGGATGGATGGATAGATGGATACATAGAGGGTTGGATGGATGGATAGATGTATGGATAGATAGATAGATGAATGGATGGATAGATAGATGGATGAGTGGATGGATAGATAGATGGATGGATAGATAGATGTATGGATAGACACATGGATGGATGGATACATGTGCGTATGTATGTATATATGGATGGATGGATGGATAGATGGATGAATGGATGGATAGATGGATGAATGGATGGATAGATAGATGGATGGATAGATAGATGGATGCATAGACACATGGATGGATGGATACATGTGTGTATGTATGTATATATGGATGGATGGATGGATGGATAGATGGATGAATGGATGGATAGATAGATGGATGAATGGATGGATAGATACATGGATGGATGGATACATGTATGTATGTATGTGTAGATGGATGGATGGGTGGATGGATGGATGGATAAATGTTTGGGTGGATGGATATATGGATATATGGATACATAGATGGGTGGATGGATGAATGGATGGGTGGATGGATGGATCGGTAGATAGATGGATGAATGGATGGATCAGTAAATGGATGGATGGATGGATGGATGGATAGATACGTACATATACATGATAGATGATAGGTAAATGATTGCATAATTATACCAATCATAGAGAATGGAGACGGATAGAAAAGCAGACTGAGAAATCGTTAGACGACAGACTCTGTCACGCCTGCTCAGGTTTCCTCAGCCTCAGCACTTCTGGACCGTCTCTGACGTGGGGCATCCTGTGCACTCCGGGGTGTGGAGCAGAAGCCAAGGCCAGTCAGACAAAAGCTGTATTAAAATGTAAGGAAATTTTTAAAATATGCAATGGATTAAAATTTTTATTATTTTAAAAAATATGCAATAACCATCAAGGATGTACTGTATAATACAGGGTACTGTACTTTTATTCGGATTTACATAAATATATTCCTTTTTGGATTCTCTTCCACTCTAGGTTATTACAAAGTGTTGAGTATAGTACTCTGTGCTTCCCAGGTACCTTCGTGGTAAAGAAACCACCTGCTAATACAGGAGACATAAGAGGCTCGGGCTTCCATCCCTGGGTGGGGAAGATCTCCTGGAGGAGGACATGGCAACCCACTCCAGTATCCTTGCCTGGAAAATCCCACGGACAGAGGAGCCTCGTGGGCTGCAGTCCACGGGGTCTCAAAGAGTTGGGCATGACTGAGCGACTAACACTTCAAAGAGAAAAAAGTATTAAATGTATAGATATGGAAATTGTGCAGAAACAGTGAAATATTAGAACAATGGAATGCTTATAATCAATTGTTTTGATGCTTTCATTTTAGATGTGTGAGGTCAAATAGCAAGGAAATCTATAGTTTAANCTCTGTATAATGGGCTCCAGTTTCATCCATCTCATTAGAACTGATTCAAATGAATTCTTTTTAATGGCTGAGTAATATTCCATGGTGTATATGTACCACAGCTTCCTCATCCATTCGTCTGCTGATGGGCATCTAGGTTGCTTCCATGTCCTGGCTATTATAAACAGTGCTGCGATGAACATTGGGGTACGCGTGTCTCTTTCAGATCTGGTTTCCTCGGTGTGTATGCCCAGCAGTGGGATTGCTGGGTCATATGGCAATTCCATTTCCAGTTTTTTAAGTAATCTCACAGTTAACCTTTAATAAAGGGTAAAAGGTATTGTGTGTTGCGGCGGGGGAAACCCAAGCCTCAAACAGACAGTGAAAATGGGAACACGCATGCGCTGTGTTAAAGGGACCGTCCCCCGGCCAGCAGCCCTTGTAAGTCGGCGGTCACTGTGGAGGATTCTGTGCCCCAGGCCCTCTGCCCCATCTTCCAGCCTCTCTGCAAACTATCTTGAGGGACTCTTAGCTGCCACCCAGGACCAGGCATCATCTCCTTTACGCTCGTTTGCCTTGTCCACAGACCCTGCTGGGAGGTCTGAGCTGGTCTCAGAACACGCCAGGGCGATGAAGATGAAAAAAAGGACAGAAGGTGAAAACGCAGAGACTGTCGCACAGACTCAAGGGGGTCAGAAAGAGAAAGACAAGTGTCGCATCTTGACAGGTTTATGAGGAATCTAGAAACATGGCAGAGATGCTCCCGCTTGCAAAGCAGAAATAGAGACACAGACGTAGGGACTCGGGGGAAGGCGGGGGTGGGATGGATTGGGAAATGGAGATGGACGTGTATCCACTGTTGAGGCGTGCGTGCTAAGTCGCTGCAGTCGTGTCTGACTCTCTGCGACCCCGTGGACTGTGGCCCCGCCAGGCCCCTCTGTCCGTGGCAGTCTCCAGGCAAGAACACTGGAGTGGGTTGCCATGTCCTCCTCCAGGGGAGTCTTCCTGACCCAGAGAGCAGACTCGTGTCTCGTAACGTCGCCTGCGTTGGCATGCAGATTCTTTACCACTAGCGCCACCTGGGAAGCCCATATTGACATGGATGCGATGTAGGTGATACATCATTATACACGTTGGCATGTACAATATATCAATAAGTGTGCATATTGATACTATGAATGTAGTAGATAATGAGAACCTACCGTGCATCACAGAAAGCTCTACTTAGGGCTCCGTGGCGAAGCGCCAACTCATTGGAAAAGACCCTGATGCTGGGAAAGATTGAAGGCGGGAAGAGAAGGGGACGACAGAGGATGAGATGGTTGGATGGCATCACCGACTCCATGGACAGGAATTTGCGTAAACTCCAGGAGTTGGTGATGGACAGGGAGGCCTGGCGTGCTGCAGTCCACGGGGGTTGCAAAGAGTCGGACAGGACTGAGCAACTGACCTGAGCTGAGCTGAGGGGACTAACCTGGTGACTGATGTGAGTCGACTTGGGGAAGCTCCGGGTCCCGTCCTTGGGAAGACTACCCTCCCCACCCACGTCTGTGATGAAAATGCTCACTGAGGGTCTTCGCTGGTGGGCCCAGTGGGGAGGAACCCTCCTGTCACTGCAGCAGACAGCGGTTCCATCCCCGATCGGGGGGGGGGGGGGGAAATCCCACGTTCCCTGGAGCAGGTAAGCCCGTGCGTCACAACTGCCGAAACCCGGGGGGCCTTGGAGCCCACGCTGCATAAGAAAAGCCGCTGCAGCGACAAGCCTGTGTGCCCCAGCGCAAGAAAACCACAGCACGGTCCAGAAAATCAAATAAGTTAAAAAAAGAAAAGATGATCAGTGAGACCAGACCCACCTGGTCCCTGCTCTGAGAAGACTTGGTGAAGCGTCTGGCCCGACTCTAAGAAAGACGACCTTCTCGCGAGTGGATGGGCGTGGGTGTGGAGGAGACCAGAGGACCCACCTGTCCCAGTTCCTCCTAGCGGCAGGCGTGGCAAGGGGAGGGGGAGGGAATCGAGGGGAAGAAAACAGGAACACGGCTGAAGGCGTCCGTCCCGTCACTGTCGTCCGTCCCGTCACTGTCGGATGAGGAAGAGACGCGTCGGGGCGCTGAGACGGGCAAGGCTCGCGGGAGAGCGATGGGGATCGCAGGTCGGCAGACGCGAGCGTGGGGTGTGTGTGTCGGAGGGGTGGGGTGTGACCCGGTCCCCCTTGACCCCCGGGGTCCCCGAAAGTGTCCTTTTCCTGCTTCTGTTCCTGCCCCGGACGGCTGGCGCTCCAGGTGGGTCAGAACAAAAGTTGCTCTGCCGCGCCGGCTGCTAACTCACTTCAGCCGTGTCCGAGTCTCTGCGACCCCATGGACCGTAGCTCCGCCGGCCTCCTCTGTCCGTGGGGATTCTCCAGGCAAGAATCCTGGAGTGGGTGGCCGTGCCCAACCTCCAGGGGATCTTCCCGACCCAGGGGTCAAAGCTGGGTCTCCTGCATGGGCAGGTGGATTCTGTTCCGTGCGCACAAGCTGGGAAGCCCCAGTAACCAGAGGGTGTGCAGTGAAAACACCTTTCCGATGCAGGGTGCCCAGGCAGACGGCGTGACCGCTGGGGGGTAGTGTGTGGGCGCCGCGTTCTTAGGTCCGGATGAGCCCCGGGGGGAGCTGGCCAGGTCGGGGTGGGAGATTTCGGAGTTCCCCGGGGCCAGCCCGTGTCTGTGGGGACTGGAAGCCATCCTTGGGTTTGCGAGCTGTGTGTGTGCTGCGGTGATGAGGGCCCGTCGGGGTTACAGGTCTTGCCTGGGACGCTGGCGTTGCGTTTTGTGTGGCTCCGTTGGTCAAGAATCCGCCTGCATTGCAGGAGACCCCGGTTCGATTCCTGAGTCGGGAAGATCCGCTGGAGAAGGGATAGGCTACCCACTGCAGCATTCTTGGGCTTTCCTGGTAGCTCAGCTGCTAAACAATCTGGCTGCAGTGGGGGAGACCTGGGTTCGATCTCTAGTTTGGGAAGCTTCCCCTGGAGATGGGACAGGCTACCCACTCCAGTATTCTGGCCTGGAGGATCCCATACAGTCCATGGGGTCGCAAAGAGTCGGACACAACTGAGCGACTTCCACTCACGCACTCCCTGGCACGCCTAAAACCACGGTGAGCTCCACGGGCAAGCTCGTGCCAGGATCCCCCTTGGACCGGCCTCCCGGTTACCCAGCCCCCTCCGCAGGGCGTGTCCTGAATCTGAGAGACGGCGCGGTCCCCTCCGCCCAGCCTACACGGTCTCAAAACTGAAATCTTTCAATGGGGGAAGAAAGCGCGGCCTGGTGACCACCAAAACAGGAAGGGAAAGCAGGCATGAAGAAGCAAAGGGCGACTCGATTCCATTCACGGGCAGCAAAGCAGCAGCGGGGAGTCCACGGAGGCAGAAAGTGGGCGCGTGGTCGGAGGCGCTGGGGGCCGAGGGCTGCAGGCTGACTGCTCACGGGGACAGGTCTCCCTTGAGGAGACGGGAAGCTTCTGCAGCCACGCTTTGCGGATGTGCGGAGTGTCACTGCCTTGCATGAGGGGCCTGCCCGGGTGCCTCAGCTGGTAAAGAATCGGTCTGCCGATGCCGGAGACGCGGGTTCCATCCCCGGTTCGGGAGGATCCCCTGGAGCGGGAAATGGCAACCCACTCCAGTGTTCTTGCCTGGAGAACCCCCGTGGACAGAGGAGCCTGGTGGGCTGCGGTCCACGGGGTCACAGAGAGTCGGACACGACTTTGCGACTGAACATACAGGCTTGCATCCCGTGTGAATTTAGCCTGAATTCCAAAAAAAAAAAAAACCAGGCAACATTAAGTGAAACAGCAATAAGATTTCTGTGGGTTTCGGTCTTCTGACCACTTCTGTGAGGCTCCTGGAAGTGCTTCTTGGGATGGGAGTGACAATTAAACCAGGGATTGGCTGAATAAGATACATCATGTCGTTATTCAGTCGCTCAGTCATGTCTGACTCTCTGCGACCCCGTGGACTGCAGCACGCCAGGCCTCCCTGTCCTTCACCAGCTCCCAGAGCTTGCTCAAACCCATGCCCATCGAGTCGGTGATGCCATCCAACCATCTCATCCTCTGACGTCCCCTTCTCCTCCCGCCTTCAATCTTTCCCAGCGTCAGGGTCTTTCCCAATGAGTCAGCTCTTCGCATTGGGTGGTCAAAGTATTAGAGCTTCAGCTTCAGCATCAGTGAATACTCAGGACTGACTTCCTTTAGGATGGACTGGTTGGATCTCCTTGCTGTCCACGGGACTCTCAAGAGCCTTCTCCAATGCTAGGATACATCACGCTCATTGCAGTCTCCTTCGGAGATTTCCTCACAATCCTTGACCAAGAGCCGGGGTCTGCGATGAACTGATTATTTGAAGCGAGCAGCTTCTGGGGCTGGATTTCTGAGTCCCTTTGTGGTACATGAGAACTCTTTTTTTCAGTCAAGGTTACAGCAGTTTCTGGTTTTTGCTCCATCACGATGAGCAGGAAGCTGATGGGAGTTCAATGCACAGGAAGTCAGTGGGGAAGTTGGGGTGAAGGGTGTTGATGAGTCCGGTGGGGGGGGATGATGCGTGTGCAACCCCTCCGCGTGTCCGCCCAGAGGCCAGTACAACGCTATGGCCCGCGGGGGAGAAAGCGGGAGTCAGGGAGCTTGGTAAGACAGGTGCTGCCATCACCGAGGAGATGTGGAGATGGGTCAGGCTGTGATCCCCTCCTCCCCCCGCCCCGTCTCCCGTTAAGCAAAGCTCAGACCACAGACATTTCGCAAATTGCAGATGTGAAAATCCAGGCGCCCAGCAAGAGCCGTGGGTGTGTGTTGATTGAGGAAGGTCCTCTCTGAGAGGTTCCAGGGTGCAGTGGGCAGGTGACCACACCCCCTCCCCACTGCAAGAAAACAGCCTCCCCCGGAGGGGATCAGACAGCAGACCCCCGAGAAAGACGAAGTCTGCGTGGGGCGGGGTCATGGCGTGGGTCCCTGAGGCGGGGGAACAGGAAATGATGGTCAGGTGGGAAAGTTGGAACGGTTCTGGTGGATGGTTTGGTTTGGTTTGGTTTGGTTTCTTCCCCCACTGTGATGGCAAGTGAGGTTCCCTGGGGGGAACGGGGTAGAAGGTGTTGGGGCGGGGGGCAGGAATCTGAGGCTGGGTGCTTGTCCCCAGGAGTGCTGACGGACAGGTGGCCCTGTCCCTAAGTGGGGAGGGTGCTTGCGGTCCTCCATCCTCGGCATCCGGCCCGGAGGACCTGGAGAAACTGCAGACGGTCTGAATGAGTCTAAGAAGAGAAGGCGGGGAAGTGGGCAGAGGAGGGTGGGTATCTGGAAACAGCAGAGAATCAAATATAGGAGGCCCAGGGGACTTGTTAGCAGAGACACTGAGGGTGTTGGGAGTCGGGGGTGGGTGGGAGCTTCTCCGGTGGGTCAGCGGTTACAAAAAAAAAAAAAAATCTGCCTGCAAGACAGAAGATGCTGGAAACGCCATAGGTTCGATCCCTGAGTTGGGAAGATGCCTTCGAGGAGGTCATGGCAACTCACTCCAGTATTCTTGCCTGGAGAATCCCATGGACAGAGGAGCCTGGCAGGCTGCAGTCCATGGGGTTGCAAAGTCAGACTCGCAACTGAGCAGGAGGAGGGCCTGGTCTGGAGCGTGTGCAGTGTCAGCAGACGGTGTCCGTCACGAACGTGTCTCCGAGATGTGACCCAGGGGGACTGGGCGAGCGAGGGCAGCTGGGGTGCAGGGCCGTGGGGGGCGTCTTTCCCGGCGGAGATGCCCGCGGGAGCCAGGAGGTTCCCCCCGTGGAGGCACCTGTGTCGCCAGAGGGGAGACGCGGGCCAAGAATGGGATGCCGTGCGGAATGTGCGCCGGCCATCTGCGGGTGGAGACGGGGGACGAAGCCCCCTGGGTGGGGACGGGAGCCTGAAGGCTCTGCACTGGACGTGCGCCCGAGACGCAAGGTCCTCGGAGCGGAGCGGAGCTACGGCTGAGTGAAGAGGTGGAAGATGGTCTGTGAGGACCAGACGGAGGAAGGGGAAGATGGAAGGTGACAGGAACGATGCAGGGATGCAGGGAGGGGAGAAAAGGAAGGGAGGGATACAGGGAAACAGGCAAGGAGGAAAAAAGATCAGAGAGGAAAAAAATGCCGTGTCGTTTCTCACGGCAACCCCCAGGAAAGGAACTCCCCAAGAGACAGAAAGGTAGACTCCAAAAACCCAAGCACATGATCGAAAATTCGACCGTGCCTGGTAAAATAGAGACAGGTAGCGGGGAACCCTTGGGTAAAGATACAGGGTCCAGAGGACGGGATTCCCGGGAGCAGGAGGAGATGAGGAGGGGGTCTGCTAGAACGGAGCTCGAGACGAATGGAGATGTGCACCGTACACAAATGTAAAGGCACATTGCAAGTGACAGCAATACCGGAAAGGAATCACCCCGACCAGAGCCAGCCGGGTCTGATTTTTGGTGGCCCCGTGGACCGTAGCCCCGCCAGGCTCCTCTGTCCGTGGGAGGGATTCTCCAGATGAGATCGCTGGAGCGGGTTGCCGTGCCCTCCTCCAGGGGATCTTCCCGGCCGGGGAATCGAAACCGAGTCTCCTGCGTTGGCAGGCGGGCCCTTCACCACCTGAGCCACCGGGGAAACGCAACCTAAAAACACTGCTGGGGAAACGGCGGGCACGTCCACAGATGCCACCCCAAACCCAGCTGGGCAATCGGCTGCTTTCTGTGGAGTGTGGCTTTGTGGGGGATAGAGCACGGTACCTTTGTAAGTTTAATCTTTTAATGTTATGTAGTTTTTTTTTTTTTAAGTTTAATCTTCTAATTTTATATTTTTGCCCGAGATGTGCAGCATATGAGATCTTAGTTCCCCAGCCAGCGATGGAACCCGAGCCTCCTGCGTGGGAAGCTCTCCGTCTTAACACCTGGACCACCAGGGAACTCCCTAAATTTTTTGTTTAATGTTCTTCGAGTTTATTTGTCTGGGGCGAGTGTAGGTTTGCAGAAACATGAGGATTGGAAAGTGTTGGGAATTCCTCTGTACCCACTTCCCCCTACAGTCAGTTCCGCAATGGTGCACACCAGGCGTCAGTGTGGAACGTCTCTTGCAATTGATGGAGCAAGTTTGACAGTATATTCTTGACTCAAAGTCATAATTTGCATTAGGGGGTCACTTCAATAATTTGGCTGCCGGATGCGAAGAGCTGAGTCATTGGAAAACACCCTGATGCTGGGAAAGATTGAGGGCAGGAGGAGAAGGGGACGACAGAGGATGAGATGGTTGGGTGGCATCACCGACTCCATGGACATGGGTTTGAGTAAACTCCGGGAGTTGGTGATGGACAGGGAGGCCCGGCGTGCTGCAGTCCATGGGGTCGCAAAGACTCGGACACGAGTGAGTGACTGGACTGAACGGAACTGAACTTGCTGTTGGATGTTCTGGGGATTTGGACAAATGTGTGATGGCATGTTTCCGTCATTAGAGCAGAATATTTCCACTGCCCTAAAAGTTTCCTGTCCTGCACCTGCTCATCCCTCCTGTTCTCGTAACCCCTGGCAACCACTGATGCTTTTTCTGTATCCATTGTTGGTGTTCACTCACTGACTCATGTCTAACTCTTTGAGGCTCCTTGGGCTGAAGCCCGCCAGGCCTCCCTGTCCTTCACCATCTCCTGGAGTTTGTTCAGATTCATCTCCACCGTCTCCTGGAGTTTGTTCAGACTCACGTCCATTGAGTCAGTGATGCCATCCAGCCGTCTCTTCCTCTGTCGTCCCCTTCTGCTCCCGCCTTCAATCTCTCCCAGCATCAGGGTCTTTTCCAGTGAGTCAGCTCTTTGCATCAGGTGGCCAGAGTACTGGAGCTTCAGCTTCAGCTTCAGTCCTTCCAATGAATATTCAGGACTGATTTCCTTTCGGATGGACTGGTTGGATCTCCTTGCAGTCCAACGGACTCTCAATAGGGTTCTCCACCACCACAGTTTGAAAGCATTGATTCTTTTGCACTCAGCTATAGTTTTATCTTTTCCAGAAAGTCATAGAACTAGAATCATGCACTAGTGTGTGTGCTAAATCGCTCAGTCATGCCCGACTCTTTGGGACCCCATGGATTATAGCCCGCCAGACTCCTCCGTCCATGGGATTCTCCGGACAGGAATAATGGGGTGCGTTGCCATTCCCTCCTCCAGGGGACCTTCCCAACCCAGGGATCAAACCAGGATCTCTTAAGTCTCCTGTGTTGCCAGGCAGATTCTCTACCACTAGCGCCACCTGGGAAGCCCATGCACTTTGAACCCTCTTTCAAATTGTCTATTTAGTTAATTTACTTATTTTTTTGGCTGCACCGTGTACCCTGGGGGATCTTAGTACACCGACCAAGGATCGAAACCACGGCCTCCGGCGTGGGGAGGGTGGAGTCTTAACCACTGTAAGCAAGTGACCCAGGATGCTGGCCAGGTCACATTGTCGATGCCGACCACCACCCTGGAGAGAGTCCTGTGGTTTGTTTTTTTTTCCTTCCCCCATCTCCCTGGGGAAACATCACTGGTGTCTGCATCAAGACTCCCACAAAGGCTGGTTTTTCTCTCCCTGCAGAGCTCCTGCGTCGTCCGGGAAGCCCCGCGAGTCTCCTGGCCGTGGCTGTCCTGCTGACTATGGTGCTCGACTCTGCGTGGCTTCTCCCCCAGGAGCAGCAGGGTGAGTATGTGAACGTGCCTGACCTCCTCCTGCCTCCGCCGTTCCCTGGACCCCAGCTTCTGAGACACGTGCCTGTCAGTTCACTTCAGTTGCTCAGTCGTGTCTGATTCTTTGCGACCCCATGGACTGCAGCATGCCAGGCCTCCTTGTCCATCACCAACTCCCGGAGCTTGCTCAAATTCCTGTCCATGGAGTCGGTGATGCCATCCAACCATCTCATCCTCTGTCGGCCCCTTCTCCTCCTGCCCTCAATCTTTCCCAGCATCAGGGTCTTTCCCAATGAGTCGATTCTCCGCATCAGGTGGCCAGAGGATTGGAGTTTCAGCTTCAGCATCGGTCCTTCCAATGAACACTCAGGACTGTTCTCATTTAGGATGGACTTGTCTGATCTCCTTGCAGTCCAAGGCACCCTTAAGAGTCTTTTGCAACACCTCAGTTCAAAAGCATCAATTCTTCGGAGCTCAGCTTTCTGTATGGCCCAGCTCTCACATTCATACATGACCACTGGGAAAACCATAGCTTTGACTAGACGGACCTTTTTGGCATGCCTGTAGGCATAGCCATGGGTGGGGCTGTGTCTAGTTTCGTGATTTTCCTTCGATTCCGCAGTCTGCCGGCGTTATACCTCCTGTTGTGTTCACCCCTTGTGGTTATGTGAATAGTCCCACACCCATCCTACAGAGACAGGTGATGGTGCCCGTGACAAGATGGGAATAGATAGCCTCCACTCCTTCTCAGTTGCTTGGTCTTCATTTATTGTCGTGGTAGACGTCTCCCCTTGGCCTGCCCTGGTGGCTCAGAGGTGAAGAATCTGCCCTCAGTGCAGGAGACACGGGTTCCATCCTTGGGTTGGGAAGACCCTCTCCCCGCCCCCAGAGGAGGACATGGCAACCCACTGCCATATTCTTGCCTGGAGAATCTCACGGACAGAGGAGCCTGGCAGGCTACAGTCCAGGGGGGTCACAAAGAGTCGGACATGGCTTAGTGACCGAACAACAACAACAGAAACATCCTTCCACTTGGAGAAAGGGGCAGGAAGCAGAGACGGGACAGACAGTAGGGGACAGAGAGGATTTGACAAGAGGTGGTTTACAGTTGATCCCCACCGCCGATCCTTGCTTGCAAGACCTGAGACGAATTGCTTAAGTGGGTATGGAGTTGGGAAAGGGGGAGTTTTTTTTCATTCCTGAGGTCACGTCTTCCAGATCTTCCAACCGTGAGGCCAAACTCCAGTCTCAATGTGAAGTTTGACCCAAAGACGACGAGGCTGACTTGGGACTGCAAGGAGAACACTACGTACGGGGAGTGCGTGTTGATTCACAAGGAGAAGGGGCTGATTAAGAAAAAGGTGAGGTGGTGTGGGCACGAGCTTGAGGAAACTCGGGGAGATGGTGAAGGACAAGGGGAACCTGGCATGCTGCAGTCCATGCGGTCGCAAAGAGTCGGACTGAGCAGCAACAAGGAGGTGGATTGGACGGGCCCCGTTGCTGTCCTTTGCAGAAAAGGATATTCGACAATTTATTCCCTCCACGTCAAGCGCAGGAGACAAAAACACAAGCGGGACTGGGGTTGCATCGAGGAAGTCATGGTTCTAGGTGCACCAGGGAAGTGACCCTCGTCTCCAGGATGTGTTCAGTAGGCTGACTCTCCCTGGGGGGACAGCCACGTTCTTTGGCTTCGTTGGTCCACGTGCTAGACTTGATCCTGAGAAAGAAACAGCATTCACTCTGCCTGTTAGGTGGAAACAAACTCAACAGACTGACTTGGATACAGTGTCAGCATGCCATCCCTGAGAGAATGACTATGAGATCAGACAAGAAAAATCAATCCCGTACAAGAGGGTGTGGGGACTTGCCTGCTGGTTTAAGACTTTGAGCTTCCAGTGGAGGGGTTGCGGGTTCAGTCCCTGGTCAGGGAACTAAGATTCCCACAAGCTGCATGCTGTGGCCAAAAACACACACGGGGAGTGTGAGGTTCCAGAGAAAGGTAAAGCAGTGAGGGTGCAAAGAGCGGTCCAGCCTGCATCCCTTGGGAGTTTTGTGAGAAACAAAGGCTCCCAGACCTCACCTGGGACTTGTCTAATCAGACTGTGCGTTTTTACAAGATCCCTGGTGAGCTACGGGTGGGTTCGGAGGGAGGTTTAAGAGGGAGGGGACATAGGTATACTTCTAGCTGATTCACGTTGTCGCGGCAAAAACTAACAGAACGTTCTAAAGCCATTACGTGCATGTCCCTTCAGTCGTGTCTGACTGTTTGCGATGCAATGGACTGTAGCCCGCCAGGCTCCTCTGTCCATGGGATTCTCCAGGCAAGAATACTGGAGTGGGCTGCCATGCCCTCCTCCGGGGGATCTTTCCCATCCGAGGGATGGAACCCATGTCTCTTGCGTCACCTGCATTGCAGGTAAATTCTTTACCCACTGAGCCACCTGGAAAGCCCAAAGCAGTTATAACTCCAATTAAAAATAAACGGCAAAAACTAACAGAACGTTGTAAAGCCATTACGTGCATGTCCCTTCGGTCGTGTCTGACTGTTTGCGATGCAATGGACTGTAGCCCGCCAGGTTCCTCTGTCCATGGGATTCTCCAGGCAAGAATACTGGAGTGGGCTGCCATGCCCTTCTCCGGGGGATCTTTCCCATCCGAGGGATGGAACCCATGTCTCTTGCGTCACCTGCATTGCAGGTAAATTCTTTACCCACTGAGCCACCTGGAAAGCCCAAAGCAGTTATAACTCCAATTAAAAATAAATTTTTTTTCTTTTTTTTGAAAAGGTGAGCTCTGAACCCTGCCTTTCTGAACCTTGCTAGTTAGTGGCCGTCTTCTCAAAGAAGGTACCTGGGCGAGATTTCACGTAGGGAGGTGAACGTCGTGACGGGGGTCAGTGTAGGAGCAGATAGCGTTTGAGGATGAGAGGAAAGAAGACAGGTTCTTCCTAACCCACTGGCTGGTTGCATCTCTTCAGGTCAAAGACAGCGAATGTCACTGCACATTTCCGGACTGTTCTCTCCACGGGGGAGTCACGCTCAGCGTCCAAATAAATGTCAACCAGAGACGGCTTTCAGAAAGGCTGGTCTACAATAACCCAGGTAGGGAAAACACGCGGGTGACCCTTCTGCTCCCCACGAGCATCAGAGTCCACCGTCCCGCCTGTTTCAGCTTCACGGAGATATGTTTGACGCACAGCAGTTGTGTATCTCTGGGGATTTTTTGGGCTTTGTCATTTCGGTGTTTTTGGTTTTGGCGGTCCTCTGTGGCTTGTGGAACCTGACATCCCTGACCGGGGATTGAACCCAGGCCCACAGCAGTGAAACTGCGGAGCCCTAACCACTGGGCTGCCAGGGAATTCCCACATGTGCCGTTTCGATGTGTATGTGCTCCGCGAAACGGTGACCACAAACAAGCTGTTAATGCATCTATTCGGTTGCGTCTGTTCTTGTTGGTTGCTTGGTTGGTTTTTTTTGTGTGTGTGTGGTGAGAACCCTGAAGGGATCTTCCCTCTTCAGTTCAGTTTGGTTTGATTCTGTCACCCCATGGAACTGCACATTTCCGGACTGTTCTCTCCACGGGGGAGTCACGCTCAGCGTCCAAATAAATGTCAACCAGAGACGGCTTTCAGAAAGGCTGGTCTACAGTAACCCAGGTAGGGAAAACACGGCGGGTGACCCTTCTGCTCCCCACGAGCATTCAGAGTCCACCGTCCCGCCTATTTCAGCTTCATGGAGATACGTTTGATGCACAGCAGTTGTGTATCTCTGGGGATTTTTTGGGCTTTGTCATCTCGGTGTTTTTGGTTTTGGCGGTCCTTTGCGGCTTGTGGAACCTGACACCCCTGACCGGGGATTGAACCCAGGCCCACAGCAGTGAAACTGTGGAGCCCTAACCACTGGGCCTCCAGGGAATTCCCACATGTGCCGTTTCGATGTGTATGCGCTCCGCGAAACGGTGACCGCAAACAAGCTGTTAATGCATCTATTCGGTTGCATCTGTTCTTGTTGGTTGCTTGGTTGGTTTTTTTTGTGTGTGTGTGTGGTGAGAACCCTGAAGGGATCTTCCCTCTTCAGTTCAGTTTGGTTTGATTCTGTCACCCCATGGACTGCAGCACGCCAGGCCTTCCTGTCCATCACCAACTCCCAGCGCTTGCTCAAACTCATGTCCATCGAGTCGGTGAGGCCATCCAACCATCGCATCCTCTGTCGTCCCCTTCTCCTCCTGCCTGCAATCTTTCCCAGCATCAGGGGCTTTTCCAGTGAGTTAGCTCTTCACATCAGGTGGCCAAAGGATTGAAGTTTTAGTTTCAGCATCAGTCCTTCCAATGAACACCCAGGACTGATCTGTAGGATGGAGTGGTTGGATCTCCTTGCAGTCCAAGCGACTCTCAAGAGTCTTCTCCAGCACCACAGTTCAAAAGCATCAGTTCTTCTGCACTCAGCTTTCTTCACAGTCCAACTCTCACATCCATACATGACCACTGGAAAAACCATAGCCTTGACTAGACGGACCTTTGTCTCCAGACTAATGTCTCTGCCTTTTAATATGCTATCTACGTTGGTCATAGCTTTTCTTCCTTTGAGCAAGCGTCTTTTAATTTCATTTCTTTTCTCAGGGAATTTCAAGTGGACAATGCAGTATTGTCAACTGTATCCATCACCTTGTGTGTTAGATCCCTGGAACTCATTCTTCTGTTTTTCGGGAAGAGCCTGAGAACGACCGGTATTGATTCTTCTTTGAATCATGAAGACATTGGGTCCGTCCCCGTTTAAACGTCATTCTTTTGTTTCTGTCCCTTCCCAGGTAGGGAGGGCACGGCTGCCCGAAACTTCTCCTGTGTCATCTACGACGCGGATTTCATGAACTGCAGCTGGGCCAAGGGCCGAGCGGCCCCCGATGACGTCCAGTATTTTTTGTACACGCGATCAAAGTAAGTGTCGACCTCACGTAGACCACCCCGAGAGATGATGTGCAGAAGTGAAAACTGCCCTGACGGTTCTCTGAACGTTTTGGGGATCTCACAGGAAAAGAATCGAAAGGGAATGTCCTCATTACCTGAAAGACTCGGGGACCCACGTGGGATGTCACCTCCGAGATCTGTCGGGGTTAACTTCATACAGTTACTTCCTGGTTAACGGAAGCAGCCAAGAAACGGAAATCCAGTTCTTCGACTCGCTTTTGCTGTTAAAGGAAATAGGTGAGAACAACCACCCGGAATTTAAAAGCAGTGATTAGTTTGATGTGACAGAATTTGTGTAGGCATCTGCGTTGAGGTTCCCGGAGATGCTATAACAAATGACCACACACTGGGAGGCTTCAAAGAGCGGAAATGTTTTGTCCCAGGGTTCTGGAGGTCACAAATCGTGGTCCCTTTTTGGAGCATCTGAAAGAACACCCGCTCCCACATCTGAATGCTAGCTCCTGGTGAGAGCCAGCAGCCCTTGCTTCCAGATGAATTATTGCAGGCTCGGAACCTGCTCCCTCTTCCTGGTGAAATCGGGAGCTCCTGTTCCTGTCGGGATAGCAGAAACGGGTCTCCCCTCCGTGGTCCAGGGGAGGCATTCCGCATCAGAGGCGTCTCCGGGGCGGGGGCGGGGGTCTCTTACAGAGCGGTACAACGCTCCCGACAATATCACCGTCCACTGCAACGAGTCCCACTGCCTCGTCCGGTGGGAACAGCCCAGGACCCGGCAGCCTCGGTCTAACAGGGAGTTCCAGTACCAGCTGGACGTCCAGAGATGGGTGAGCGGACTCGGCTCCGAGCAGGGAGCCTGGCAGGCAGCCCCGGCGCCCGACACCAAAGAGCGTGCGGGAGGGGTGGGCGTCGGGGGAGATCCAGGGTCCGCTGCAAGGCCAGCTGGACCCAGCGTGGACACGGGTGACCCTCGGAAACCTGGCTGCCCAGACCCAGCGTAGAGAAGAAAGCAGGATCCCTCTGCTCTATGTCCCCTGGGATGCATTGGACTAGAGGCTTCTACTCCATGTCCAACTGGACCCAGCGTGGACACGGGTGAGGCCACAGAAGCCTGTCTGCCCAGCCCCAGTGTAGATAAGAAAGCAGGATCCCTCTACTACACGTCCACGGGGACCCATGTTAGACACGAGTCCGCTACTCATGTCCATCCGGACCCAGTGTAGACGAGAAGGAACCCTTTACCCATGACCTCCAGAACTGACACGGCCGAGCAAGATGCTCGTGCTGTATCTGAATCCAGTATAGACAAGCAGGAATGCTCATTCTCATCCACCTGGACTCAGTGTAGACTTGACTGACCCTCCTCACGTCCCCCGACCCAGTGTAGACATGCCTCACCTCCTCACATCCCCCTGACCCAGTGTAGACGTGACTCACCCTCCTCACCTCCTCCTTGCCCAGTGTAGACGTGACTCACCTCCTCACGTCCCCCTGACCCAGTGTAGACATGCCTCACCCTCGCACGTCCCCCTGACCCAGTGTAGACAAGAGGACCCTCTTCTCGAAGGCCATGTGCGTTCTTCATATGGCCCACCAGGAGCCACGTTTCTATAGGAGCCGTGAACCAAGTCCACCCTCTGTCCTGTGGACATGTTTCTTCCTTCTGTGAGGGTCCAACTGCGGCGTAAGGGGGATTATAAGGAGCTCAACCGTTTGTTGGGCACTGACTATTTTGTTTTCTCTTGACTTCATGGAAAGGGGAGATGGGACGAGATCTATGAAAAACTTTCAAGATGGAGAGAAGTAAATATTCTCTTTTGGTTTGGGTTCTTTTCTAGCATGATACCAGCAGCAATAGAGGTCAACTGGTGAGTGACGACCCTGACCCTAGCTACCACCCTTGTTGTTTAATCTTACGTGTGTGTGGGCGTGCGCAGTCGCTTCATTCGTGTCCGACTCTCTGTGACCCCATGGACTGTAGCCCACCAGCCTCCCCCGTCCATGGGATTCTCCAGGCCAGAACACTGGAGTGGGTTGCCATGCAACCTCCTCTGTCCGATGAGGAAGTTGGACTGGGTCCTCTGAGCATCCTTTGCGGGGCCATGACCCGTCTGTGGGTCTGTCCACATCCTCCGCAGTTCCTCAACTGTCGCTTCATCTGTACTGAATGATCCCAGGGGCCCCAGGACTAGTCAGTCAGAAGATTCAGGACAATCACCCATGCTCTTTATTTATCTATGCATCTCTTTGCAGTATTCGGGACGCAAATTACAACATTCACACTCAGGTTGGGAGGGTGTGGGCTTGAATGTTTCTCTCCAGTTGGACAACTGAAAAGACACCCCCCACCCCCAGTCTTTTTCTCAACACAGGTCACAACTCTAACTTTCTGCTTTCTCCAAAGATTGTGGTGTTTGGTGACTCGGGAAATAGGTACAACTTTCCCAAACCGGGATCCAAAGCAAAACATACTGTGAAGATAAGGACAGCGGACGCCCGGAAGGCCCACTGGGGTGCCTGGAGCCAGCCCGTTGAGTTCGGTAGGTGTCCCGAGACCATCCCCGGGCAGGTCCTGGCATGCTGAGTCCTTCTCTGAGCCATTCAGCGAAGCGTTCCCGTCCACGAGCCCGTGGTGACATTTCCCCTGGCATCAGCAACACCCAGTCAGGGAAAGTGAAAATTACTCACTCGTGCCTGACTCTTTGCGACCCCATGGACTGTAGCCCGCCAGACTCCTCTGTCCATGGGATTCTCCAGGCAAGAACACTGGGGTGGGTTGCCATGCCCTCCTCCCGGGATCTTCCCCACCCAGAGCTTGAACCCAGATCTCCTGCATTGCAGGCAGATTCTTTACCATCTGAGCCAGCAGACAAGCATTAATTTAAACTATGGGCCAAAAAAAAAAAAAGAAATTTGACTTTTCCCAGAATACAGTTCTAAAACAGACTTGGCTCACCTCCACGTGATTTTTCTCTTCTTTTTTTGCTTTCGCCTGCTATCTGTAACATGCAGTTTTGACAATTGATGTGTCGCTTAAAAGATACTGCTTTGCCTAAAAGGTCACGTTTTATCTGTGTATACTGAGAAATGTTGCAACCGTGAACACGTCCATCGGGTTATAATCACTCTGATCAAGTGAGAGTGTCTACTGTATTTTTGACTCTTCACAGATGAAAAATGTGCCCTATTTAGGAAAATAATTTTAGAGAAGAAAATGGCAAACCACTCCAGTATTCTTGCCTGGGAAATCCCATGGACAGAGGAATTCTTAGTTGTGAATTGTAGCTCAGTTGGTAAAGAATCTGCCTGCAACGCAGGAGACCTGGGTTCGATTCCTGGGTTGGGAAGATCCCCTGGAGAAGGGAATGGTGGTCTGCAGTCCATGAGGTCACAAAGAGTCAGACACGACTGAGCGACTAATACAGACAGAGGAAAGTAGTTTATTGTAAAGAGCACTTATTCTAAATGACACATGAAATTAAAGCTTAAGGATAGATGGGAGAGGACTTCCCTGGTTGTCCAGCAGGTAAGATCTGCCTTCCAATGCAGGGGATGTGTGTTGGATCCCTGGCTGGGGAGCTAAGACCTCACATGCCTTGAGGCAAAAAGACCTAAACATAAAACAGAGGCCATAGGGAATTCCCTGGCAGTGCAGTGGCTGAGAGGCTGTGTTCCCAATGTTTACTCCCTGGTCGTGGAACCAGATCCCACGTGCCGCAGCTAAGCCCTAGCACAGTCAAATAAAGACGAAATATTAAAAGAAGAATGAATATTGCAGTAAATTCACCAAATGGGAGGGAATTTGGTTTACAACTGTTTGCCTAGAACTGTTCATCCTGTTCAACTAGTCATCCTTTCTTCTGTCCATTTTTAAATGGAGTGGTCTTTAGGTTGCTGTGTTCCAAGCGTGCTTTAGGTGCTTTGAATGTGGTGTTGGGCTTGTCTCTCATCTGTCATCCAGTCCCTCACTTTTGTCCGACTCTTTGCAACACCATGGACTGCAGCATGCCAGGCCTCCCTGTCCATCACTGTCTGCTGGAGTTTGCTTTAACTCATGTCCATCGAGTCGGTGATGCCGTCCAACCATCTCATGCTCTGTCGTCACCTTATCCTCCTGCCTTCAATCTTTCCCAGCATCAGGGTCTTTTCAAAGGAGTCAGTTCTTCATATCAGGTGGCCAAAGGATTGGAGTTTCAGCTTCAGCATCAGTCCTTCCAATGAACACCCAGGACTGATTTCCTTTAGGATGGACTTGTCTGATCTCCTTGCAGTCCAGGGGACTCTCAAGAGTCTTCTCCAACGCCCCAACTCAAAAGCATCCATTCTTTGGCGCTCAGCCTTCTTTGTGGGCCAGCTCTCACATCCGTACATGAGTACTGGGGAAACCCTAGCTTTGACTAGACGGACCTTTGGGGGCAACGTGCAGTCTACTGTGTCACAAACATTTTCTGTGAAAGCTCCGGGTTAGGGTACTCTCGTAGATTTCCCTTCTCCTTATGGGCCTTTTCTGGTGGCTCAGACGGTAAAGAATCTGCCTGCCGTGCAGGAGACCTGGATCTGGTCCCTGCTTCGGGAAGATCCCCTGGAAAGAAGGCATGGCAGCCCACTCCAGCGTTCTTGCCTGGAGAATGCCCTGGTCGGAGGAGCCTGGTGGGCTGCAGTCCGTGGGGTCGCGAAGGGTAGGACGTGGCAGAGGGACTGACGCTCTGGGTTTCGCCGGGCGTGTTTCCGAGCCCCTGAGCCCGTGAGCTGGCTGAGCGGCACCGGCTCCTCCCGCTCCCCTGCGGGGTCCGCGGCATGTCCCCCGCCTCTGTCTTCCCCAGGCTCCGAAGAACCAGAGTCCAGCCTGGTGCACGTCTACATTCTGGTGGTCCTGGGGACTCTCGTCTGTGGCCTGACCCTCAGCTGCCTTTTCAAAAGGTAACCCCGGGGAGTCCCGGGCCGCCTAACCCCCGTGGTCAGTGGAGGGGCCAGTGCCCGTTCTAGAGTCACCGCCCCCCTCCCCCGACCCCCTATCGGCTCACAAAGATGAGAAGGCAGCCTGCAAATCCCCCAGGCGGTCCCAGCCGCCGTGGGGGTTTTCCGGAAGAAAATGTGTCTGGGGAGAACAGTGTTGACTTTAAAAAAAATTGCACAGGGTGAATGTTGCGAGTTTAATGTTTTATTCTGGGGCAAAATTAGGACCGCAGGCTTCCCCGGTGGTTCAGATGGTAAAGCATCCACCTGCGATGCGGGAGACCTGAGTTCAATCCCTGGGTCGGGAAGATATTTTTTTTTTCCTCCAGAGCACAGAATGTCTCATCTCTGCTCTCTACCCGGAACTCCTTGGAGGAGAGGATTGAAGGTCAGCAGCTGCAGAAGCAGCTGGTTTAATGCTTGTAGAGATAGATGAAGTTTTGAAAGTGTGAGTCTGCGCAGTCATGCCCGACTCTCTGCGACCCCGTGGGCTGTAGCCCACCAGGCCCCTCCGTCCGTGGGATTCTCCAGGCAGGAATACTGCAGTGGCCTCCAGTAAGAATACTGCCGTGCCCTCGTCCAGGGGATCTTCCCGACCCAAGGGTCGAAGCCAGCTGTCCTGCACTGCAGGCGGATTCTTCAGCGTCTGAGTGAGCAGGAAAGCCCCCTTACAGTTCAGCTGTGCCCCAAGGCCCGCCTTCTGGTCTTTCGGAGCCTCTGGAATTCTTGGAATGTCCCTACAGACCTCTGTTTTCCTGCAGCGTGTTCTCAACCCCCCACCACGGGGACCCCTGCCAGCGTCTTTCCTGTCGTGTGAGCTCAGCAATCAGGCAGGCTGTCTCAGATGCCCGGGAAGGAAGCCCGGCATGTGCAGAGTAAAGCTTGCGTGCTCTGCAAAGCCACGGGGAGATTTGGCTCACGGGGAGACCCTCCTGCAGGGCGTGTGGGCGTCCACTCGCGACGTCTCTGTCACCAGGCGACCCCCGCCGCGTCCCCGTGGGGCGTCCTGGGCTCAGACTCCCGGCCCGCCCCGGAGACGAGGGGCGACCCTGAGCGCCCGCTCCAAGACGCTGCAAGGCATCGCGGTTCTTGGGACACGACCACGGGCTGTGGGGACGGGAACACATGTCGTGTTTTAACACCGAAGACTGATCTTAGACAAAAGCCGCGTCACTTTCTGTGGCTGCCGGAACCAGTGACCACAAGCTGGGGGCTTAAAGCCGCAGACGTCCGTCCTCCCTGAGCCCTGGGGACCAGATGTCTGCGGTCTAGGTGTCCCAGGCTCGATTTCCTCTGGGGGCTCCAGGGGAGGCTCCTCCCCGCCTCTTCCAGCTTCTGGGGGCTCCAGGCGTCCGTCCCTGGGCTGGGCTCCCTGCAGTGTCTTGGGGAGGGTCCTCCCCGCCTCTTCCAGCTTCTGGGGGCTCCAGGCGTCCGTCCCTGGGCTGGTGGCCGCCTCCCTCCCGTCTCCGCCTCCGTCTCCACGTGGCTTCTCCTCTGTGTCCCTGTCTCTCCTCTTCTGTGTCTTATAAGGACCCTGTCCCTGGGTTTAGGGCCACCCCACATCCAGGAAGGCCTCATCTCAGACCCTTCACTCCAGCACTTCTGCAGAGACCCCATTTCAAAGCAAGCTCCCTTTCCCGGGCTTCAGGACTCAAGTGGACCTTTGGGACCACCGCTCCACTCAGCACAGCATCTTATGATGTCACAGGGTTGCCTCCTTCTCGTGAGAATAAAAATAACCGCCCGGGCGGTCGTTCACCACCACTGAGACACTTGGGGACCATGGAATAGCCCTGAAAATACGTGCCATCCGCAGAAAACTGGTCCGTCTGGAATCGTGGCCTTCAAGGCTGGATAAATTTCCCTGCCTTTTAACAGCAGAGAGTGTGGATTACTCCAAGCTGCTCAAGACTGGGCACATACCACCACTGCCGTCTCTGCGCCCGAGACAACGAATGTTCAGTTCAGCTCAGTTCAGTCGCTCACTCGTGTCCGACTCTTTGCGACCCCGTGGACCGCAGCACGCCAGGCCTCCCTGTCCATCACCAACTCCCAGAGTTTACTGAACCTCATGTCCATTGAGTCAGTGATGCATCCAACCGTCTCATCCTCTGTCGCCCCCTTCTCCTCCCTCTGTCAATGGTTTCTCTTCAAAGACAGTGAATGAAAGTTCTGGAAAGACTTTCTTGGGCACTTCTTAAGTACATCCGCACAGTCTATTTATATTCTCCACAGTCTAAGATTGCAAGCCGTCCTGTGATATTTTTTAAGAATTTTTTTTTCGGTGGATCATTATATTTTTTAATGTCTCTCTGTTTTTGGGTTTTTTTTTTTTGAGCTTTGAAATTTTTATTTTGTATTGAAGTATAGCTGATGAACACTGCAGTGATGGTTTCAGGGAGACAGCCAAGGGACTCAGCCATACATGGACACATATCCATTCTCCCCCATCCTTCCCCCTGGTGACCATCAGGTTATCACAGAGTATTGAGCAGAGTTCCCTGGGCTGTCCAGCAGGTCCTTGCTGGTTCTCCATGTTAAATACAGCCGTGTGTCCATGTCCATCCCAGACTCCCTGACTGTCCCTTCCCCCATCCTTCCCCCTGGTGACCATCAGGTTATCAGAGAGTACTGAGCAGAGTTCCCTGGGCTGGACAGCAGGTCCTTGCTGGTTCTCCATGTGAAATACAGCAGCATGTCCATGTCCATCCCAGACTCCCTAATTATCCCTTCTCCCCATCTTCCTACCCCCTCATAACGATGAATTGGTTTTGTAAGTCTGTGAATCTCTTCCTTCTGTTTTGTAAGTCACTTTGCATCATTTCTTTCTAGGTTTCTCATGTAAGGGGAGTCACACGACATTTCTCCTTCTCTGTCTGAGTTACTTCACTCAGTACGACACTCTCTCGGTCCCCCTGGGTTGCTGCAGATGGCATTATTTAGTTCTTTTTAACGGTTGCATACTATTCCATTGTGTTAATGTACCATCACGTAGATCATTTTTAAAGTCTTTACTGAATTGGTTACAGTAGTGCTTCCACTTTATGTATCTATTTTTTTGTCTGCGAGGATTTGTGGGGTCATAGCTTCCTGACCAGGGATCGAATCGGCACCCCAGGGACTGAACCCACACCCCCTGCCTTGGAAGGTGAAGTCTTAACTCCTGGACTTCCAGGGGAAGTCTCCCTTTCTGAGAATCTTAAAGGAAACTGTTGTGGAGATGTGAGTCTAGAGGGTGTGTTTGCACGTAATATGGCAGTGCATCTCCTCTGGACAAAAATGTAGTCCCGTCGGTCTTTTCTTCATCTCGTGTCTCATCTCCGCAGGCTCGTCAGGACCCACAGGTTATTCCCTCCGGTTCCACAGATCAAAGATAAATTGAACGATAACCATCCAATCGACCACGAGGTATGTCTGGGGTGAGTGAGGCGGGGAGCCAGGACGGACAGGTGGGGAACGGTGAGCCCAGAATCTCGTCTGTGCTCAGCCAACGGGGTCCACAGGACGAGGCTGGAAACCCGTGTCCTGCTCTCTGACTTTCTTCCGGCGGGCGGCGGGGTTGGGGGTTTTGTCTGCAAGCTCTGTGCGGGGAAATTAGCCGGGTCGTGGAGAAGGAGGAGGAGAGAAGAGGAAGATGGGGGTGGCAGAGAGAGACAGGGATAGACTGAAAGGGGTCCAGCCAGATCTTCAGGGGGGATGAAAAAGGATAGCAGACAAGAGAGGACACCCCCCCCCCCGTATGTAGGGCTTCCCTGGTAGTTCAGATAGTAANGCTCTGAGCTCCGCGCAGTCCCAACGAGTGTGGTACCCGAGTCTCAGACGTCCCTCCCCCAGCTCATCAGCCGACGACGAACTCCCGCTCGGAGACCCGGCTGCCGTTTCTGTCTAAACCCTCCACGTCCGTGGCTCCCCCGGGGGCTCCTGGGGAGTTGACATCCCTGCCTTTCTCCCCCATCAGATACTATGGGAGAAGTTTACACATGAAACGGGAAAAGATGACAAGGAAGAGGTCTTAATCGTGGAGAAAGTCTCAGAAGCCCCAGCAAAACTGTGAATTCCAGGCGTCTCCATACCCGGGACTTTCTAGAAGCTGTCGACTTTTTTTTTTAAATATATTTTTTTTAACATTTCTTAAATGTTTTATTTACTGTTTCGAATGAAGCTTTTTTAAATTGTTGTGAGCGTTTGTATAGCATTCTTTTTGTTCTTTTACTGAGGCTTCCCAGGGAGTCAGTGGCAAAGCATTTGCCTGCCAATCTAAGAGACTCGGATTCGATTCCTGGGTTGGGAAGACCCCCTGGAGCAGGGCATGGCAACCCACTCCAGTATTCTTGCCTGGAGAATCCCATGGACAGAGGAGCCTGGCCATCTAGAGTCTATGGGGTCATGAAGAGCCGAACATGAATGAGTGACTAAACAACATTTTTTTTTTTACTCTAGAAGATAGTGTCATGTTTTCCAAAGCTGCTTTTGTAGTTGGAGGGGTGGTTGGATGCCTGCAATTGTGAACACTTAATGCACCTCTCAGCGCCGCCTGGAACCCCATCCCTTCATCACAGGCACATGTCTAGGATGCCGGTGGCCGCGGGTACTGGAACACCATCTCCCCTGCCTCTGCTTCTGCTGGCGGAGCGAATACATCCTCCTTTTTTTTTTCCTGTATCAGCTGCAGTTTAGAAAGAAATGAGTTTCCAGAGGCTTCTGCAACAGGACCTCCATGATGGGCTTGCGTGGCAGGAATCTATCCATTAACAGTTCAAACGTCTCCTGTGTAATTCTGTGATGACCTTACCCCTGGGGCGGGTGGTCCACGACCCAGTCTCTATCTCGGGATCCTGACACTCATCACGGCTGTCAGCCTCCTTGTGTCAGAAGACAACCTGTTTATGGGTTCCGGGATTTAGGATGTCGTTGGGGATGTTATTCTGTCCACCACACGGGGAGGGCATGCAGACGTCCTTGGGGACATTTTTCTGTCCACCGCACGGCGCCCAGAAAGAGGAGCTTCGCTGAGTGGCTGTGATGGGAATCTGGAGCCATCTCCAGACTTGCAGATTCAAAGGCTCCTTCCCCCCACTCTCCCACCCCCTCATACATGTGGTATGCATTCCTCCCGTTCCCCTGGAATTCTCCACCAAGACCAGCTGAGTCGTATGCTTTTTGCACAAACCGGCAAAGCCTTCTTTTTTGTTTTTTTTAACTCCGGTCTTTTCGTGAGATTTGTGAGCCGTTTTAGCCAATTACCTAGCCCCACAGAGGGGGTCTTGGGAAGCCTGATTTATAAGCTGGTCGGTCAGAAGTCTGGGCTGCCTGGGACCACCCCAGGCAGGGTCTGAAAAGTCTGTGGGGTCACAAATTCTGAAGAGTCTGCGGTCAGAAGTCTTGGGGAGCCAGTTTTTCCTGCTGGAAAATGACCCGGAGGCTGACAGCCAGCCAGCTGAAAAAAATGCATCGGGGCTAGAAATGATCTGGACACAACATCCATGTCACTTTAACACGTGGATTTTACACAACTCAGGAAACGTGAGCTATTTGCGTCTGTTGGTCTGTTTCTGTTGGTACACAAATTATTGATTAATGGATATAAAGTGTTAGACGTAGAATAGATAAGCAACAGAGATTTATGGTACACCTCAGGGAGTCAGATAATCATGTTCGATATCATGTCAGACACTATAATCAAAAGGGACCCGAAAAAAATGTGTGTCTGCATAAGTGAACCAGTTTGCTGTAGACCAGAAACTAAGAGTGTTCTAAGTCACCTGTGTGCTCGGTCGCTGAGCCGTGTCCGACTCTCTGCGACCCCGTGGACTGCAGCCCGCCAGGCTCCTCCGTCCGTGGGATGCTCCAGGCAAGGATCCTGGAGTGGGTTGCCATGCCCTCCTCCAGGGGAGCTTCCCAAGCATCAAACCTCTGTCTCCTTCATTGGCAGGTGGATTCTTTACCACTGAGCTACCTGGGAACCTATACTTAAATAAAATAAAATAAAAACCTTTCAAAAAACAGCCATTCTAAAGGCTTCGCAGGCAACTCCATGGCAAAGAATGTGACTGCCAATGCAGGCAGGAGACTTGGGTTCAGTCCCTGGGTGGGGAGGATCCCCTGCAGAAGGAAATGGCAACCCACTCCAGTGTTCTTGCCTGGACAATCCCATGGACACAGGAGCCTGGCGGGATGCAGTCCGCGGGGTCGTGGAGAGTCGGACACAACTCAGCGACTGCACAACTGCAAGAAGGTTATTCTAACGAGAAAAAGAAAGCAGTTCTTCAGCCGCACGCTCCCTGGCACTGAGGATCTGATGCCCCCAGCTGCCCTCCTCATCCTGTCCCCCCAGAAGGGCCCCTCCCAGGCCCCCGCCTGCCGCTGAGGCTGCCGGCCCAGCTGTGCCGTCTCTGCCGCCCGGGAGGCCGCTGTGTACCCTGCTGGGTTTGCACCGCAAACCCAGACCTGTGGTCTGCACCACGACGCCCCTGCAGAATCCAGCGACCGGGGAGTCGAGAGTGTCAGGAACTGGCGTCTGCGCCCGGGAAGATGAGGAAGCTGGCGCGGCTGGGCTGCCGGATCGATCCTGGCGACCCGGGTTGGGTCCTCGCCCGTGCGGGAAGGCGCAGGGCGACCTCGTGCTTCCTGGGGGCCCCTCTCGGGGCGGCTCTGCAGCTGGCTGAGTCGCTCATTTAGGACCGAGTTACCGGGCGTGGATGCATGGAGCAGGGTCTGGTTCAGCCTCATGGGATGCCCCGGGCGGGGCGGCGCTGGGAGGGGTGTGTGTGTGTGTGTGTGTGTCTGTGAGAGTTGCTCAGTCGGGTCCAGCTCTCTGCCACCCCATGGACTGTGGCCGCCAGGCTCCTCTGTCCGTGGGATTCTCCAGGCAGGAATGCTGGAGTGGGTTGCCGTTCCCAGACTCTTGTCTGGGAAACCTCACGGACGGAGGAGCCTGGTGGACTATTACAGTCCAGGAGAGGTAGGCAGAGAATAGTTCCCACCCCCAGGGAGGCACCTCCCGGGGAAGAAGGTGAGAACACGGCACGTGGAGAAGGAGGAGGAAGTGGGCGGCGTGTGAGTGACGTTGGTCTTTGAATCTGAAATTCCCTCCAGCTTGCAGCTTCTTCCTTGTTCCGTCGCTGAGTTGTGTTTGACTCTTTGCGTCCCCTTCTCCCCCCGCCCTCAATCTTTCCCAGCATCAGGGTCTTTTCCAATGAGTCAGCTCTTCCCATCAGGGGGCCAAAGGACTGGAGTTTCAGCTTCAGCATCGGTCCTTCCCATGAACTCAGGACAGATTTCCTTTAGGATGGACTGCCTGGATCTCCTTGCCGTCCAAGGGACTCTCAAGAGTCTTCTCCAGCAACACAGTTCAAAAGGGTCGGTTATTTGGCGCTCAGCTTGCTTTAGAGTGTTGTGTTAGCTTCTACTGTAAGACGAACTGAATTGGCCATGTGTGCACGTATATCCCCTCTTTTTGGATTTCCTTCCCATCTAGGTCACCGCAGTCCCCTCTGCTATACAGTAGTTTCTCATTAGTTACCTATTTTATACACAGTATCGATTGCGTCTCAGTCCCAAACTCCCAGTGTATAATATCCCTTCTTCCCCCCTTTGCTGTGATGCGTTTGTTCTTTGCATCTGCGTCTCTATTTCCGCTTGGCAAACAAGTTCATCTATACCATTTTTCTAGATTCCACATAAATTGTGTTAACACACGTGGCTTCCCTGGAGGCTCAGATGGTAAAGCATCCTGCCTGCAGATGCAGGAGACCCCGATTCGATCCCTGGGTCGGGAAGATGGTTTTTTTCCCTTTGTGACTTGCTTCACAACAAGTGAAGGATGGACTCTGGGTCCATCCAAGTCCATCCACGTCTCTCAGAGAGCATTTCCCTGCTGCTGGGCTGGGCTTTAATCTCCTGCCTGTTCTGTACTTTGCAGGCCTCCTCCCTGGGGCGGGGATGCGGGAGGCTCAGAACACCTCCAGACCAGTGAAGGCTCAGCCACACCCCTGCTGGTGGGTCAGCTCTGCTCAAGGCGACCAGGAATCTGTAGCAGTCACAGTTCACCAGAGTAATAAGGCCAGCAGGATGGAGATTTGTGATACCTGGGTGGATAGATGGGCAGACAATGTGATAGACAGAGAAATAGGTATGGAGACAGGTAGACAGATGATAGACAGACAGAGATGATGGATATAATAGGTACGTCGAGATGATAAATAGAGATGATAGGTAAATAGATAGACAGGCAAATAGAGATGAAAGATATAATAGGTAGATAGAGATGGTAGATAAATAGGTAGTAGAGATGATAGATAAATAGGTAGACAGATAGGCAAATAGAGATGATAGGTAGATAGAGATGATAAATAAATAGGTAGACAGATAGATAGGTAAATAGAGATGATAGGCAGATAGGTAGATACGGTGATAGGTAGATACAGATGATCGATGGACAGATAGACAAATAGGTAGACAGATAATCAATAGGTACACACAGATGATAGATAGACAAATGGGTGGACAGATAGATGGACAGGTAGACAGAGATGATAGGTAAGTAGACAATAGGTAAATAGGTAGATGATAGAAATAGATAGAAAGATAGATATAGATAGATAGGTAGGTAAATAGAGATGATAACCAGATAGGTACATACAGATGATAGATTGATAGACAAATATGTAGGCAGCCAGATAGATAGGTAAATGGAGATGATGAATAGAAAAATAGGTGGATCAATAGACAGGTAGGCAGAGATGCTAGATAGACAAATAGGTAGATAGATAGGTAGATAGAGATGATAGATATGTAGGTAGAGATGATATATAAATAGAAAAATAGGTGGATCAATAGGTAGATAAAGATGATAGAGATGATAGATACATACATAGAGATGACAGATAAATAGGCAGATAGGTGAATAGAGATGATAGGTAGGTGCAGATGACACATTTATAGACAAGTAGGCAGACAGATAATCGATAGGTAGATAGAGATGATAGATAGACCAATGGGTAGACTGAGATGATAGATACATAGATGGAGATAACAGACAAGTAGGTAGACAGACACATAAATGGAGACGATACGTAGATATGGATGGTAGATAGACAAAGAGGTAGATCATGAGGTAGATAGAGATGATGGATACATAGAGATGACAGATAAATAGGCAGATAGGTGAATAGAGA